GTCAAGGTTAGGGCTCCCTGGCAGCATACCACACGGGGCTGCTCTTACAGAGTCCAGGGCATATTAGACGCTCCATTACAAGGGGCCCTTCTGATGACCAGGGTTTTTCTGTTGGCTTATTCACCCAATAGGTTGTTAGTGAGCACCTGCTCTGTGCCAGGCGCTGAGGCCAGGCAGGGGACGTGGAGAGGACCATGTCCCCTGGAGGATCAGGTCTCTTGGGGAGAAGCCAGGTTAGACCACAGAGGTGAACACGAAGCGCACCAGAGCAGGACCCTATGGGGCCTTCCCAGGACAGGCCCTCCCCCTCTGCAGTGTCCACACAGCAATATTTGATGCAGATTTCTCCAGTTGTTTTGCAAATATGAACACCCACCCCATCAAATGCAAAATGTTAACTACTTGATGAGATGAATGAGATGGTTAGACAGCAACACCGACCCAACGAGACATGAATTTGAGCAACCTCCGGAAGACAGTGGAAGACCAGGGAAGCCTGGTGTCCTGCAGTCCGCAGGTCACAACGAGTCAGCTGACTGAGCAAGTGAACAATAAAACAACCTGATGACCATGAGCTCATAGCCCCAGGCTTCCTGGAGCCTAAGGACTGATAGAGTTAACCCTGGTGACACCGCCCTGTTACCTCACCATCAGTCAGAAAATTATGCATGATCTGATCACGGATCTGGTGATCCCCTCCTCCTACCAGGCTTTTTAAAAATGCTTTGCTGGAACCCTTAGAGGAGCTTGAGGGTTTTGGGGGTCAGAAGCCACCTTGTCTCTGCATGGCCCTGCAATAAACCTTTCTCTGCTCTGAACTCCCATGTTTCAGTTTGGCCTCACTGTGCATCAGGCATGGGAACCTACGTTCATTAAAGTGTCAGGGAGACGAGGCGTGGGGTGTGACAGGGGAACTCCCAGGACGGCAGGTGTTGGGCAGAAGTCCAATCTCTGATGCCTGGGTTGAGATCTCAAGTCACGGGTGGGTGGGCCAGGCAAATGGAGCCAGGGGGCCAGGAATCGGGCTCCTTACTTCCCAGCAGGGAGGGCCAGTGTGCTGGAGGCCAGTGACTGCCTGGGCCTGAAGATGGCAGCTCTCGCATCCCAGACTGGCCTGGCTTGGCCGGGCGGGGGATGGCGGCGTTGCCAGCCACTTGCCATGCCGGTCATGTCTGCGCTCCCAGCTCCGGAGGTGAAAGGTGCAGCCGCTAACCACAGCCCATCAGTCTCCCAGCTGGAATAAGACAACGCTGGGAAGCAGAGCCGCGCTCCCGGCCAAATAAAAGCCTGTTTGCCCCGGCCTCCCTGGCTGTGCACGCTTGAAAACAGAGGGTTCTGCGGGAGGATTGCTTCCGTACCATTATATTCTGTTGGCGGCGCTCGCAGGTACCGCAGCCTGCCGGGGCCCTGAAAGCTTCTCAATGCCCTGACCCTGCTGGTTTGTAACACGCTCGGGAAGAAAGGGACGCAGCCAGTGGCCGCCTTTCCTCTTTCTTCCCTCCGTGCTCTCTCTTTTCACCCTCCTGCACGCAAGGCACCGAGGAATAGCACTTCACCTGCGGGGCGGGGGGTGGGGGGGGGTCGCCGTTGAGCTGTGGATGAGATAGCTGATTCCAGCCAGGAAGGGAGGCAGGGAGATGACCGGGAGGCGAGACTGAGGAACGGGGTGGTTGTGTTCGTCCCTGGGCACGAGCGTTGCTGTCTGGGGTCAAGGGCTTTGCCTCCTCGGGGCAGCTTTTCCAATGACTTTCAAAGACCTGCTCTCGGCCAGTCCATTTGATGGGTGTTTGCTTAAGTGTCAGCTCACCAGGGACTATCTAATGCCCCACATGATCAGGGACATCAGTGGATGAAATGAAGACTGCCCATCTCTGCCTTGGGGAAGGGGCGCTGGGGGGTTTGCTCTGAGCTTTTGTGGCTGCCAATAAGGGACCCTAGTTAAGTGGCGAGATTGAGACAGGGGGGCTGAGGGCATTTAGTTTCTAGGACTGCATCGGATGGCAAGACCGCACCAACTTTTATCAGCGAGGAATCCATCTCCTCCTCTTTGTTACCGTGCACTGGGAAGCACCTTCTGTGTGCCAGGCGTGGGGACCAGGTGGCATCCAGGGTCAGATGCAAACGCACCATCCTGTGCCCTGCCCAGCTGACGGGCATTTTCATTCTCATCCCCTCTCCTTCCCTCCCTCTCTCTCACACATTCCCTGTTGTCCAGGCTTCTAAAAACTAGGACTCCTTTAAGTCTCTTTCCTCTGCCCAGAGAGCATCCTCTCTCGGCCTGGCTCCACGGGAATGCAAGGAAAACAGGAAGTGTAAGCACCTGGCAGGGGAGAGGAGAAAACACAGTATCTGCTGCCTTCTCACTGGGCACCCACAGCTTCAGAAGCATCATCTCCTGTAAGCCCCACCCCCCGATCCCCCTACGAAGTAGCACCCTAGTCCCACTGTACAGATGCCAAACCGAGGCGGAGCAGCCTGCCCAAGGTCACGGCACAGACTAGGGTGAAACGTAAGGGGCCGTACGCACAGCTGCTCACGTGCAGCCGGCAGGATGGCTAGAGGCCCAGCTCTGACTCCTGACTGGGCCACTAGGTCACTGGCCCTCTCTGGGCCTCAGTTTCCTCATCTGGGAAAAGGGGGATAATGATGGTGTTTACCTGCCAGGATTCTGCAGGATTAATACCTGTGAAAGCCCATAGACAGTACCTGGCACAGAGTGAGGCTTAACAGATGAAGGTTGTCATGGGAATAGTAACAGTAATGAGTATTACTCGGCCTGAACTGCACATGGAGCTGTGTGCCTTGACCTCGGCTTGTCAGGGACCGATGGGGGAGAGAAGGGCTGGTCACAGGGCCTGGGGGGCCCTCGGCCTGGCAGCAACCTGTCCCCACAGCCTCCCCCAGGGGAGCGGCAGGCCTGGTGGATGAGCTGAGCCCCAGAGGTGAGGATGAACTCGGGGTAACGCATGCTGACTGCACCAGCCATAATGGGGGCCTCTCCATCACTCTGGCTACCTCCCACTGGCCCTGAGGCCAGCTCGGAGGCCACGGTGTCACCAGTGAGCTCTCTGCCGGGTCCCTCCGAATGGTTAAGATGCCGGCCTTTCATTCCGAGGCCCAGCTTACCCAGGGAGCCCTTTATCATGGCCTCGGTGCTCGGGTTGGGCAAATGGGGCTTGGGGCCTCCACCTGAGATCTGAGTGCCTTCCTGGCACAGATCGGGGCCCGGGGGGAGGAACTGGGCATGGATCCCACCTGCCCTCGGAGTCTGCCAGGCCCCTGGAAGCTCTGAACAATGCGGATTTTGACACAAATGAGCTGGATACTTTTCGCCATGGGGAAGGGGCAGAGCCGGGAAAAGGGTGCAGCCAGGAGGGCCGGAAGGCAGCAGCCCTATTCTGAGTATTCAGGGCTGCCGTGGGTACCCCTGTTCCCAAGGAGATCCAGCAGACAATGGGCGGGTGGGTGAGAGGGCTGGCATTTTCAGAGCACCGGTTTCTGGCTGATGTGTCTGTCCTGCTTCCCCCACGGCATTCTGCCTACTGGGGAGGGATGGAGGGGGTGTCATCCCAAGGATGGGGTGCTATAGCTAGGCTGTCCGAGAGTGCAAACTCTGCTTCCACCCCCTACTATCTGCGTGACCCTGGGCAAGTTCTGTCTTCATCTGTAAAAAGGGATGATTGAGGGCATCTACCCCTGGTGGCTAGCAGTAAAGAATCTGCCTGCCAGTGCAGGAGACACGGATTCGATCCCTGGGCCGGGAAGATCCCCTGGTGTAGGAAATGGCAACCCACTCCAGTATTCTTGTCTGGGAAATCCCATGGACAGAGGAGCCTGGTGGGCTACAGACCATGAGGTCGCAAGAGTCAGACACAACTGAGCTACTAAACAACAACGTTCTAGGCATGCTGTGTGGGTGGGAAAAAAAGGCACCCTGTGCTGTCCTTGTTATCACCGATCAGGTCATGACTCCATACAGGGGAACTATTCACATCCTCATCTGTGGAATGGGAGACAGAAGCCTCAGGGGTGCAGTGACTTGTCCCAGGACGCTCGGCTAGGAGGCGCTCAGCTGCACCTCTCCATGCCTCAGTTTCTTTATCTGTAAGATGAATACTTTGGCCACCGGATGCAAAGAACTGACTCAATGGAAAAGACCCTGATGCTGGGAAAGATTGAGGGCCAAGAGGAGAAGGGGACAACAGAGGATGAGAAGGTTGGATGGCATCACTGACTCACTGGACATGAGTCTGAGCAAACTCCAAGAGACAGTTAAGGACAGGGAAGGCTGGCGTGCTGGAGTCCATGTGGTCGACACGACTTAGCGACTGAACAACAAGCTGGGGACAGCAGCACCCACAGCAGCAAGGGCTGCTGTGAGGATGAGACGATGCCTGTCACATACAGATGATGCCCCAGCGGAGGGAGTCCTTATTATTACAGGTCCCTCTACGCTCAGCTGCTCTCAGTTCTGTCACCTGCAAAATGGGGCTGATCACAGCCACTGCACAGCGCTGTGAGTTCATGAACGGGAAGATGCATGCAAAACCACTGCCATTTTTCCTGCTATTATTGCATTAGGTTAGCCAGAAAGTTCATTTGGTTTTTTTTCCATACCATCTTTTCCAAACCATCGTCAGGTTTTTTTCAAAAGACAGTTCGTGAACAAACTGTTTAAAAAAACTTATTTATTTTTGGCTGCGCTGGGTCTTGGTGGCTGCGCATGGCCTTTTTCTCTAGTTGCGGCAAGTGGGGGCTACTCTCTAGTTGTGGTACTCGGGTTTTTCATTGAGGGGGCTTCTCTTGTCGCGGAGCAGAGCTGCTAGGGCGTGGGCTCAGCAGCTGTGGTGCGTGGTCTTAGTTGCCTCGTGGCATGTGGGACCTAAGTTCCCAGACCAGGGATTGAACCCGTGTCCTCTGCATTGGCAGGTGGATTCTTAACCACTGGACCACCAGGCAAGTCCCCCAAACCAACTTTCTGGCCCACCTAATACCTGCCCCTGAATGGGCCTCAGCCTGCAGTTGACCTGGGGAGATGGCCAATCTCACAGAAGCGCTTCCTGCTGCAGCTTTCTTTTGGGGGGAGGCAATAATGCTGTCTTTGGAGATCAATCTATTGAAGGGGGCTGCTCTCTGAGGCAGGGCAGGACTGCTGAGCCTGCACTCGCCTGCTGGCCCCAGGGAGGGGAGGTGGGGGGGGATGGGAGAGTCCCTTACACAAACATTTGCCGATGGGTGCATTTGGGCCTGTCAATGGCTGTCGATAAAGATAGGATTTGGGGACTTATTGAGTTGTGTGCTTGTGGCTGTGTACTTAGCCCTAACATCTCTGGTTTCTCGTTTGCCTTTACTTATGGATTCCCCAGTCTCAGACGGGCCTTGGCTGGCATGGGGGCTCAGAGATCAACCCATCAGTGACAAAGTCCTGACAGACTCCGGTGGTGCAGTCTCCACGGGAAAGGCGCCACTCCAGCGAGAAGAATCGTAAAGAAATACACGACAATGCGGCAAGGAGATATAGGAACACAGGTGCAAAGAGCAGAGGACAGAGCCATTACTGATAACCTCGGGAGCGGGGAAAGGGAACGCTTCCTGGAGGAGGTGTCCTTTGCACTGGGCCTTAAAGGCTAGATAGGCACTGACCAGGATGAAAAAAAAAAGTCGAGGCAAGGCATTGTGAGCAGAGGGAACAGCATATGCAGAGACAGTGTCCTGCTGGGCATCTGGGGACGGTGACCTCTGAGGGAGATGTGGTGGGGAAGGATTAGGAGGGAGAGGCCCCTGGGGTTGGCAGGGGGGTGTGTGCTAAAGAGTCTGGTGGGCGGCGCTACAATCATAGGGCTTCCATTCCACTTCTGGACAACGTGCCGGAGAAGGCGAGGTTTGTGTAAGCCCCCCTGGTCATCCTTTCCGCCTGCTCCCACCATGCTGGCTGCCCTGTCTCTCCATGTGTCACACTCACAACAACCTCGGGCAGCCCTTCTGCGGGCACAAGTGTCACCTCTGCCGGGAGGCCTTTCTGGATCCAGCACCTTCCACCTGGACCCAACCCCCTCAACCCCAGGTCACTGCCGCACTCCTGGCGCTGGGACACGGCAGGGGCTCACTGATAATTAGCGGGGGGCGGGGGCTGAGTCATCGGTGAGGCCGGGTGATACCACCAAGGTGCATGAGAGGCGGGGCTTGGGCTTGGGACCACCAGGGTCCTGGCAGGAAGTGCATGGTGCTTTAACCAGGTAACTGAGGAGGGACAAGTAAAGGGGTATTGGCTGCAGGAAAATCGGGGCGAGGGGCCCCTGGCTTGGCCTCTGGACAGAGCACTCGCTGGGTGGAGAGGGCCACTGGAAGGGAGCTGTGGCCTTTGGTGGCAGTGACAGCCAGCGCAGCCGGACAGGAAGGGAGGGGGCGGTGGTGGGGGTGCAGTGGTGAGGATGACCACCCTGATCCAGGCGCCTCGTCTCCCTGACTTCCTGCCAGGCCTCCCAATGACCGGACTAGACGGAAAAACACCACGGGTGTGGAGGCCACCGATGCCATCTGCAGAGGTCAGCACTCCCCACTGGCTCGGAGAGGCAGAAGGAATACGGAGAGCAGGTGGAGAAGACATGGAAGGGCGGGGGGGACCAGGCGCCTGGCCCCCCGCAGTCCTCTTACCGTGGAAGTGCTCGGCTGTCTTGCGCCGCAGGGCCTGCACGCTCACCTCCGAGTCGGCCCACTCCAGCACCAGCCTCCGGCCGTACAGGTGGGTGCTGTGACACAGTGCATTGAAGGCTCTCTGGAGAGAGACACAGCGCGTGAGCAGAGACCTCCCTGCAGCCTGGCCGCCTGCCCGCCGGCACCGCACATCTGAAGGCCAGCTCTGGCCCCTGGACACCCGCTCCCCGGTGGGGGTGTGAGGAGGCAATGGGCCCTCCTCTTCCACTAAGGGGTTACGTGACCAGGGACGCAGCTACAAGTGGCAGGGTGGTCACAACAGCCGCTGTCCCGGCCTATGATTGGTGCCTGGGCCAAGTGGCCAGCTCCCCTCCCGGGTCACAGCCCGTCTGGGGACAGCGAGCCTGTTAGTTGGCTGGCCTTCCTCCTGGGGCAGCGCCTCTTGAGGAGGCCGAGCTGGTCTGGCCCCTCGATGACAAGCACACGGGCCCCTTGCTTACACTGGGTGGCAGACACGTCCTCCACCGGCCCTGGGGGTTCCGTCCCCCGGCTCTCTGCTGCACTCTGCAGAACCACGCTCGGGGGCCCCAGCATCCCCCCAGCTCTTCCCCCTCCTGCTTTCCACTCTTCCCGACCCTCCCCTGCACACTGCCTACTTCCCTCTTTTTGATTTTTGTTTTGTAACAGTTTTACTGAGATATAACTCACCTACCACCCGAGTCACCCATCTCCAATGCAACGGCTTTTAGTCTATTCACAGCCATGTGATCATCTCCAGACATTTTAGAACAGTGATGGACACAGACATTTAGAGCTCAGTGAACCATTATCACCCCAAAAGGAACTGTGGACCCTCCGGCAGCCACTCCCCATCCCCCGGGACCCCCAGCAAACACTAGTCTACTTTCCAGCTCTGCAGATTTGCCTGTTCTGAAGACCTCATGTAAATGGAATTGTACGGCACTGGCGGGTTCCGTTTTCAGTTATCACCTGGTCTAGAGCTAAATGGCTCTGTGCTGGGGCCCTTCCCAAAACACCCCTGATTACACAGAGGCTGGTGGTGCTTGGTGGCCAGGAGCTTGGGCTCTGAGGCCACTCTGCCTGGGCAGGGTGGGTTCTGCACTTCCTAGCCTCAGGGTCTTGGGCTAAAGAAACCTCCCTGGCCTCAGTTTCCTCATCTGTAAAATGCGTGTTTCAGCAGCACCCTCCTCTAGGGTTCTAGAGTAGTGTTAACCCGCAAAGTGCCCAGAACAGCCTAGGGGCACAAAGCAAGTGCTCAATAGATGCTAGCTCTCCTGGAGGTGGTGTTGCCACCACTGACAGCTCTGATTTTTTTTACCTCTAGGCAGAGGGGCCTTGGGTTAGCCCTGAGTTTGAAGAGGGTCCCTGGGCACTGTCAGCACCGGGGAGCAGTAGCGGCTGGCAGCAGTGTCTTGCTTTCTGCTTCCGGGTAGCAGTCAGCGCCATCTACTACGAGAAGAGATGCTATGGGGGGATGTCCCTCTGGCTTCTCTGATGCTGTGAGGAGGCAGCGTGTACCCAGGAGTGGTCTGGACCGGAATCAAGCCCTCTCTAACCTCATCTGTACTGTGATGGTTACAGGTTGGATTGGGTCCCTGTCGCAAAGAAGATACATGGAAATCCTAGCCCTGACACGGGCACCCCCACCCCCTCCACGTCCCATCAGGCTGTGACTTTATTTGCAAAGAGGGTCTTTGCAGCTGCAGTTAAATTAAGGCAAGGACATGGTGGAGCAGGGTGGGCCCCTGATCCAGTGTGACTGGCGTTCTTACAAGAGATGGCCATGGGAAGACACAGGGTAAATGCCTGTGAGGACCGAGGTTGGAATGGTGTCCACAAGCCAAGGAATGCCGGCTGTCACTAGAAGCTAGGAGAGGCCATGGAACAGAGATTTCCAGAGAAGAAACCAACACTTCTGCACCCTGATCTCGGATACCTGGCCTTGACTGCAAGAGGGCTTCCCAGGTGGCACTAGTGATAAAGAACCCTTCTGCCAATGTAGGAGACAAAAAAGATGCGAGTTCAATCTTTGAGTCGGGAAGATCCCTGAAGGAGGGCATGGCAATCCACTCCAGTATTTTTGCTTGGGGAATCCCATGGCCAGAGAAGCCTGGCAGGCTATACAGTCCATGGGGGTCGCAGAGAGTTGGACACGACTGAAGCGACTTGGCAAGCACCCACAGTGAGAGAAGACATTTCTGCTGTTTTAAGCCACGGCAGCCTAGGAAGACAAGTGTGACCCTGGGTAAGCCAACTGCCCCACGATGAGCCTCTGTTTCCTTACCTGTAAAATGGGGTTACTTGTGAGATTTACACAGCATGAACCCCAAGGGTGGCACAGAGTAGGTATTTGATAGACAGCTGCATCTGAAAAGTACCTGGGCGAGGTGGGTGGGACATGTTATCTCTTAAAAATTAAATGTGGGTGAGGCCAAGTTAAAGAAATGCTTTTGCTCTTCTCTGTGCTTTTCTGAGAGGGGCCAGGTGCGGGAAACTTTTCTTTTAAAAAAAAACACGTTAATTTAAAAACTCTTTCTGACTGCCAGCCGAGCCTCTGCATTTTTTTTCCCACACAGATATAAAAATGCATCTGGACTCCGAGCCGAAATGGCCCATTCAGAGCTTTAAAACACACGCGTTCTCAGCTGGCAAGGCAGAGAAACAGCCTGACTTGGGGAGCTGGGGTATTAAGAGGGGGGAGAGAAATTGGTCGGGAGTCTGGTGGGGTGGGTACTCCATCCTGGTACCAGGGTCCCTGAGGAGCGGTGGTCCCGGGGACACGGTCGGGTGGGGGTGGCCGAGTGGCAGCCTCTGGGAGGGGCTGAGTCAGAGTCGGAAGAAATGATAATGGAGCCTGGAAGGAGGGTCCAGGTGCGATGCTCCAGCCCTAGCCTCTCTCTGGCTCCAGTCGTCACATCTGTGTTTCTTTCTTACCCGCTCTCCATTCCAGTGCCACACAAAGCCTGGAGCAGTCTCTGTTCACTGTGATGATGGTAAAGTCATTAAGTCGTGTCTGACTCTTTGCAACCCCATGGACTGACCATAGCCCACCAGGCTCCTCTGTCCATGGAATTCTCCAGGCAAGAATACTGGAGTGGGTTGCCACTTCCTCCTCCAGGGGATCTTCCCAACCCAGGGATTGAACCTGTGTCCCCTGCATTACAATCAGATTCTTTATGGCTGAGCCACCGGGGAAGCCCTGTTCATTGTGGGAATTGCTAAAAATTCCGTCTCCCAGCCTCCTGTCACCCCTTGCAAATTTTCATCCCCTTCTCTTTGGAAGGGCATTTCATTCTAAGACAGGAGGGTGCATGGCAGTTAAGACTGGGGGCTTGGACCTGGGCTGTGTCTGTGTGTGAGTTGCTCAGTTGTGTCTGACTCCTGTGACCCCATGAACTGTAGGTCCCCAGGCTCCTCTGTCCATGGGATTCTCCAGGCAAAACTACTGGAGTGGGTAGCCATTCCCTTCTCCAGGGGATCGTCCCGAACCAGGGATCGAACCCAAGTCTACTGCACTGCAGGTAGATTCTTTACAGTCTAAGCCTACTTGTGGTTCAAATTCCTGCTTCATCACTTATAAGTTGTGTGATCTGGGGCAAGCTGCTTAACCTCTCTGAGCTTCAGATTCCCCGTGTGTAAATCTAGAGGTAGCAGAGAAGAATGGTTGTGCAGATTCAATGAACTATTAAGTCTAACACTGCACTGCCCGGCACGGTAATTCTCACTAAAGGCTGGCTGTTGTTATTATTGTTACATGTGCCCCTGACTTCCCATTGCCACACTGAAGAGCAGGAACAATAGTAAGTAGGCTACGAAAGCTCTTTTGTATTTGAGGTTAGAGCACAATATGTGAATCTCTAAAAATAGCAGAGCTACCCTTCCTGGTTCTAATCCCCTCAGGTGAGTAGGAAATCAGGTTGTGTTTCCAGCCCCATTGCCTCACTGGTTGGAATGTAGTGGCCTCAAACTGTCCCAAGCAGGAAGGACAGTGATTTCTGGCTAAAACTGGCTTTGGGTAATCCCGAGTAATTTGGGCCTCCTTAAAAGAGCCTGGGGACTTCCCTGGTGGTCCAGTGGCTAAGATTTCACCTTCCACTGTAGGGGGTACAGGTTCAATCTCTGGGGGTGCAGGTTCGATCCCTGGTCACGGGGCTAAAATCCCACATGCCTTGGGGCAAAAAACAAAAACAAAAAAATAAAACAGAAATGATATTGTAACAAATTCAATAAGGACTTAAAAAAAGAAATGGTTACGACTTCCCTGGTGGTCCACTGGTTAAGAATCTGCATGCTAAGGCAAGGCACATGGGTTCGATCCCTGGCCCAGGACAGCCCACGTGCGGTGAAGCAACTAAGCCCATGCACCTCAACTACTGAGCCTGTGCTCTAGAGCCCAGGAGTGGAAACTCCTGAGCCCAGAGCCCAGAGCCCATGTTCCACAAGAGAAGCCACTGCAATGAGAAACTTGCGCACAACCAACAGTAGCCCCTGCTCGCTTCAACTAGAGAAAGTCCACACACAGCATGGAAGACCCAGCGCAGCCAGAAATAACTAATTTTAAAAGAATGATCTGCTTAAAAAAAAGGAAAAAAAAAAGAGCCCAGAGGAGCCTGTTATATTTGAGACAGAGGAACGGTGAGGGGGAGACCCAGCCCCAGACCTTGGAGCTTTCGGGCCAGTGCAGTGGAAGGGTCCAGGCACAGCTCCAGCCTCTCTGGCCTGCTGTCTGATAGCAGCTTCCTCCCAACCCATGCCATCTTCTCCACAGAGAAAAGCCTCCCAGACCTCAGCTCCAGGCATGGCATGCCCGCAGGGCCTCAGTCATGGCGGGCTGCCCAGGGCTCGGTGCGGGGCTGGGTGTCCCAACGCAGGAGGAAGTGGAAAGTCAGCGGTTCCCAGCTCTCTGCTTCTCGCCAAATCCTACTTCTGGCGCCTGTGTTCCTCTCTTGCCATCCAAGGGCCTGCGCACCCAGGATTACCGATCTCCCCGGCTTCAGAGAACTCTAAGCATGTGAACCTCAGCCTTCTCATGAGGACACAGGTCATGCTCCCATTTCAAGGAGAGGAAAACAGAGGCCAAGGTTTGTAGGCACGTCAAGG